CTCACTAGCATCAATTGTCATTATCACCCAATTTTGGTGAAACCTTGATTATGATTGATTAGAGAAAATTTATTCAAATTCAATTTAAAATGTAGAGTGAGTCCGAATTTGTAAGTCCAAGCCCAAATATGTTTTAAAGAATTCGGACTGAGTTTGGTTGTTTAATACAACTAAACAAATTTATCTTCATTTGCCCTAAATTTATATATTATATATATATATATATATTTCAAAAAATAAATAAATATAGATCTCAATGAGAAAATTAATTTAAACTATGTGTAACATGTAGTGGAACATATTATATTACGATATATTTTAATCCAATGGTGGATAAATGTTAGGGTTATAAAGTTCTTGCTCATGTCATGTCTAAATTTAATTTGAGTTGGTAAATTTTAATCCAAATCTTAATTAAATCTAAAATTATACTGGACAAGTCTTCAAAATTTTATGAACTGAACTTGACTTGTTCAATTTGAGTCAAGCCTGCCCACATTGCAACCCTAACTTGGATTGAGTTTCTCTCTCCAGGCTGGTATTCCATTGGCATTTTTAGCAACAAAGAACTACATCTAATGTGTGAGTGAGAGGATTTTATTTTTGTAATTTTGTAGATCTGTTTGGTGTAATTATTTTATTTTTCAAGAATATTATGTATTCAATTAATACTAATGGGTTAAATGAATACATAACCCTAATAATAAGAAGATGGTGGATAAAGTATAACATATCATTGGCCGGATACATAGAGATGCGATATTCTTAACTTACTAGATAATTTATCTAGGACTTAGACAACGCTAGATCATTGAGGTTGGATTAAAAAAAAAAAGTGTCCCAACTTCATATTTTATGATAGTAATACTACACAATTTTTATCTCAAATTTTATTTAAACATATAATGTATGATTTAAATTTATTTTAAATATAGATCCCACTAAACACCCATTACATCTTATCACCTAAGATTTTTTGAGATCGTTTCTTGGTAAATATTTTAGGTCCATATATAGCGTTAGTGGTTTTGTGGGTTAACCAACTAGGATTGATCTAGTTGCCCAAATTATTGCACGCCATTGAAAAGTCTATACATCGAGTTTTGTCAAAAAAAAAGTATTAACTAGTCTCCAAATATCATGTTTTTGGTCAATAAAAAAGCACATCACATATTGAGTAAAGGGATAAATTACAAACACAATCCCTCAAATTTACTTAAATTATAAATTATTTCTTGCGGTTCTAAAAATTACATTATGTCCCCTAAAATTTCTAATTTCATAGCAAATGGGTCCTTTTATTAACAAATCATCAAGTTAATTAATGGTATTTAATAATGTTAAAATTTTATTTCAATTAATAATTCAGATAATTTTATTATTATATAGGTGAATAGTTAGAAATTTCATTGTCAATTAATGTTGTTAAATAAAAAATTCCGACAGTGAGGTATTTGTAATTTTCTAAATGACACACAGAGACAATTCGTATTTGAAGCAGATCTCAAGAGATGTACTTATAATTTACCCTAAGTAAAGTCATTTTTTGTTTTTCAGTTATTGAAAAACTAATTTTTTGCTTTTTTTTTTCTTCTTCATCACTATTTCTTTTTCACAAAGAATATTCAATTGTTTTACTTTCTAAAGGCATTTAGGCTAAAAGACCCTAAAATTTAAATATTAATTTAAAAAATGCTACTAAAGATATATAAATAAATAAAAATTTAATTTGACTGCGTTTTCAAAAAAAAAATATATAATATATATTTTTATAGTCTTTAGTCTAAGAATCTTTGAAAAGTGAAAATTCGATTATTTGACAAAAGAGCAAGTGAAAGAGAAAGAAAAAAAAGAAAAAGAAATTAGAAGTTAGTTTAAAAGCAGTTGTCAAATTGAATAGGAATAACAATATATATAAATTGATGTGCACAGATGAATTTGAGCCACATACTCTTATCAAAAAAAATTTTAAAATAAAAAAAAAATGAAGAAGAAGATGATCTAGGCTACATATTTCACATCTATCTCTCAAAAAGTTTGTCTACCTAACTCTACTGTCCAACCTTAGCATGGATTTCTTATTTAATTTTTATTTTTTATGCATATGTTCTACAAGAAAGATAATAGAAGTCAAGTTTTAAATTTCTTTTAAGCTTCAATTAAAAGAGATGAAAAATTACAAAATGGACAATGACTTAGAGATTCAACTAAACGACTTTTGCATTAACATTTAATATAACAAGCAAGTTATATTGTCAATTTGATATAATTATTTTTATATTTGTAATTAATATTCTACAAATTAGCACCCAAAAAAAAAATGATACTGCCAATTTGCCAATCACTTAAAAGTCAATATCTCAAACAACAATGATTTAGACCACTAAAAAATACACCACTAATTGCACTAATACATTGAGAATGGTAAATAAAAAAAATAAAAACAAGGCATAGAAGTGGATGGGGCCCACTGCCACATCATTAGTACTTCTTCTAGTGATCATTTTTTAGTGCTCCCAAGCATTTTTCTATCTCAAAAAGATGTTTTTTTCTCCATAGCCTATAACAAATTTCACTTCAACCCTTCACAAGCCTAATCCAACATAACTTTTGGGCATATTCCAATTTCCAAGCTAGTTTTTGCAATTTTTTATTTTTATGTGTGTTTGGTCCTTGATGTTACAAGAATGAGTAATGTTGCTAAAAAGTGTACAAAAATGTAGTATATAAAATAATGTGATTGAATTGAGACTTATCATTTAAAACAAAATACCCCGCTAATATAGCCTTTAATTACAAAATTTTGAATAAAAAAATTAAAAAATAATTGAGTAATGATATGTAAATAATATATATATAAATATTTACAAAATTGTACAAAGTGATGCGGCTTAACTGATTTTCACTTGAAAACTAAACATTCATCAAAATGACTCTTAATTGCAAAATTGCCATCATCATCACACAATTTTAGAGTTTTTTCATTTTTTGTACAAATCACTCTCCTTTGCTCTCTTGAATCTCATAATAAGCAAAGTGAAACTGAGCCGATTGCCTTGGGCCTCTTTATTGACTCAGCCTTAACAGCACAAGTTGGGCTGAAAAAAGCATATCCCTAACTCAAGCCCAACAGTCAAAATGAAATAATAGAATATATAAGCCCCCAAAAAAAATCCAAACTTTTCTCCTCCATCCATTCAATGGAATACGTGTTAGCCTGCGATTGGTTTCTTCAATAGCGTAATGAAATAAAATGTACTGAGTTTTTTGTTTTTTAGAAATATTTTTGATATTTGATGAATATGAATTTTTTTAAAAAAAATTCACAAACATTACATACTCCTACATTTTAATTATATCTAATTTAAGTGCATTTAAAAAGTAAAAATGAATAAATTTGATATATTAAAAAAATTTATTAAAAATAAAAAAATAAAAATAAATTAATTTTCTGGAAACCAGTATAAATCGAACCAAATAAGGTGATTTCAAAATGAAATACAAACAATAAAATTTTTTATTTTGAAATAAAAAAATAAAAATAAACAAATAAGGTGATTTCAAAATGAAATACAAACAATAAAATTTTTTATTTTGTTAAGTTTTTAAAATTTGTTTTGTTAAAAAAGAAGTTAGCAAAAAAGAAATGAAAACATTATTTACTAATTATTTTTAGGGGTATTTTTTTTAAGGTCCCTGATATTATGATTTTATAGTATAAAGGACATCAAATATTTTCATGATGTCTAAGGTCCCTTAACATCAATCCAGAGAAATTTCAGTCCCAGAGAAATTCTCTCCAGAAAAAATTGAACTTCTCTCCAGAGAAATTCTCTGGATTCAAACCAGAGAAAATTGTGGAGAGAAAATTTGTGCATCTATTCAGGAAAATTCTCTCATCTATAAAATACATCAAACGTTTGATAGCAATGGCAAAATTTAACAAGTTCAATGACATCTCCATTGAAGTACCCAACTGCTATAACATAATTATGACAGTTCAAAACAACAATTCTATTAAACCCAATGCATCAAGATTCAAAATAATTATTGTCATGTATAGTTTGAATACAAAAAAGTCTTATACTTTGATTAATACTTTTGAAGCATTGAATTATCAGTTAAAATCGGTCAAAATAAATCCAGAGAAAATTTAAATTTCTCTGGGTTGAATCCAGAGAAATTTGAGAAATTATTGGGGCCTCCGTTGCATACCATTGATTAAGAATCTTAAATATCTTAGGCATCTCTTGCTAAGTGGCTGCCCAGAGCCGGTTCCCTCTTGTGCGTACCTGGAGGAGTTGGTAGACTTGAATCCCCTTAAAAAACTAAAGGTGCTTGATCTTTCTGGTTGCATTGCTTTGACAGAACTACCCGATGACATGTGTTGACCAGATGTCTTGCCTATGGAGACTTGATCTTTCTGATACTAAGATCAAATATTTGCCATCACTTTCAAATCTTAGCAACCTCCGCCACCTCTTACTGAAAAAAATGACCGGCTTGTCGATAAGATTTAGATCATGCAAATGTCGTCTCCGTCGCAGGGGAGGTTGCTAGAGTGCGCCATTAGAGAAGGAGAGGCAGGCCAGGTCGCGGATCCGGGCGGCGCAGAGGTCTGTGACGGTGGCGAAGCGGAGGGAGGAGTCAGAGGAGAAGGTGTTGAGGAAGAGATCGTAGAGAAGGGTGGAGGAGCAGAGCTTGTTGCCTTGGATCTGGAAGACAATGGGTGAGAAGAGAAGAGAGAGAGAGTAGAGTAGAGACAAAGAGTCAAATTTCTCTAATATATGTTTAGGGACTTTAGACATCAAAACATAATTTTGTGGATCTCTTCCATTACGAAAAATGGGAGAGGGACCCTGGACTAATTTTTTCTTATTTTTATATATTTTTTTTAGAGTGAAAATAATTTTAAATAATTAAAAATATTTTTTTAATAGTATTTATTTTTATTTTTTTAAAAAAAATTTCAGAAAACAAATTTTGAAAAAGTGATGGTCTGCGTTTTGAGAGAGAGAGAGAGCACTTATCCAATCCAAAGTGTGTAGAGAGAGAGACAGAGAAGCTAAGAGAGGAAGAAATGGCGACGGTACCACCATCGACTCTGCAACTCTCCAACCCACCATTTTCATCATCCTCACATAAACCCCACGCGCCGCCCCACCCTCCTCGCCTTTCCTCCTTCACCACACGCGCCACCCCTGACGACTCCGACACCACCACCAACTCCTCCGATCCCGATGACTTCGACAGCCGCCTCTCCCAGATCCGCATCCGGTACCGCTCCGGTACCGGGAAAAAGGCCGAGGTCCGAAAGAGCAAGAAGTCCAAAAAGCCATCCTCCGCCGGAATATACCTCCCTCCGGTGCCCCTGAAGGAGGCCACCTCCGGCGGCCTCAAGGTGGACTTCGGGTTCAGCCCCTATTCGGAGCGGGTGAACGGTCGGATCGCGATTCTCGGACTATCCGCATTGATACTAGTGGAGCTGGCTACGGGCAAAAGCGTAATTCAGTATCATTCGCCGGCTATTGTGTTCTTGCAGGTGTATTTTGTGGCGGCGGTCTCGGCTGTATATGTCAAGTATGAGAAAGAGAAGGTTAGTGTTTGGCCACAAACACCACCACCACCACCACCAGCGGCTCAGAATTGATGTAATCTTTTCATGAAATTGGATGTGTAATTTAAGATTTTTGTTTCAAAAAACAAAATGTATTTAATTGTTTTAGTTTTTATTTATTACAAAAATACAATGTGGGATTTTTCAAATTTTGATTTTTAAATAAGTGTACTTTTTTATTTTTTATGAAATATGGATTGAATTTGAGTTGGGTTTGAAGTGACGTATTAAAAAAATGATGTAATTTAAATAAGATAGTGTAATTTAGATAGGATAGTGACTTTTTGACTTTTTTTCAAACATGTCAAATTAACCCTAAATTATTCAAGTTCGACTCATCTTTGTCTCATTAAAAACTTATTAGAGAGTGATTCATTATGTAAATAAATTACTACTCGACTTGATAAACATACATACACTATAAAACTCAAACTACTCGTGTTCAATTCGTTAAGTAAATAAATTAAGTTTGAACTTATTTTAAAGCTCAATATTTCAAAATAAATTTGAACAATTCACTGCTCAACTCACCTGAGATCGTTTTAATACTAGTCAAGTGCTCCCCATTGTTCTTCCGTGTATAACCTTACATGTGTATATTTATATACATTATTATATTACTAACTTGTTTGCAGTTTGTTTGATCTTGATCATATTGAGGGAGAGCTTAATAAGTTTAGCAGTCAAAATTGTAGGAAACGAGTTAGGAAAACATTTTAAATTTAGATGTATGCTTATTATGCAAAAAAATATAGGTTACTCAAATTTTGAGAGCCAAATTATTACTCAAAAACTACTTTCCTATTTTATATAAACTATATGATTTAAAATATATCATCCATTAAACTCTATTCCAATTTTATTTTATTCAATCAAAAATTATTATTCATTCTCAATGAACTGTACTAAAAAAAAAATTAAAATAATGGGGCTAAATCTATCAAAAAATTATACAAACCAGTCATAAAATTTATTCAGACTGATGGAACAATATTTCATGATTTACAAATGACTTGTTTAGGGTTCGTTTGGGATGTGGGTTAGTTTTTTGATTTTTTTAGCCTAGGATTAAAAAGTCTTGTTTAAGATAAACTTTTTGACTTTTGTGAGAGAAAAAATAAAATGATCATGGTTTAAATGTGACATTTTATCTTATTGGGCTAAAAAACTTATTTTATCTTTTTAGGACTATTTTAACCAAAAAACTCCATTTTAACTTATGCCAAACAGAAGCTTAAGCTAATATGAATGCTCTTAGGGTGATGCCTCGCAAAATAAATAAATTTTGTGATGGTTTTTATATCAAACTTCTAGTCACTTTGACTCAGAATCGGCCCTAGGAATGGCAATGGGGCGGGACAAGGCTGGGGTAGGGGCGAGAATTACACTCCCCGTCCCTGATATCCGAAGGTGCTAAATTTCCCGTCCTCGTCCCCAATCCCCGGCGGGGAATCGTCACCTTTGCCCCCTCCTCCCAACGGGGATCGGATTTCCCCAACTCCAAAAATTCCCCGAATAGATCCAGCACATCCCTAACAAGATATAATAAAGCCATAGAGGTCAACGCTGGTCAGAGAAGGGACAGAATGAAGCATTTCTAAAAGAAATCAAAAATAAAAATTTAAAACAAAAACAAATTAATAAATGATCATCCTAGTAATGTTAACAAACAAACAAATAAAAAATCAAATATTTCTCAAACTAATAGTTGTAATTAAAATGATTTATTTTTGAACAAAATCAATCAAACAAACAGTGTTCCAGAAACTAAAGCAACAAAATCACAGAATTACAGTTCACAGAACAAAATAATCAACAATTCAATTCAATCCAATCCAACAAACTTCATAAACACACACACACACACATATTTATGTGTATACATATGTCAAACAGAGAGATCTGAAAACATACTTAGAAGATCAGAGATTACACAATTAGAAATAGAACAAAACTCAGAAGAGAATCGAGCGATAGAGCACATACATATAGATATATACAAAGCACATACAGAGCAAATATCCTTTATTTAAAATTCGATTCATACACACAAATAAATAAATAAAAAATCAAGAGCTAGGGTTTTACCAAATAGAGATGACAGATTTAGAAAATAACAGAAATCAGTGAGCTAAAAATGGTGAGAAGGAAAGGCAAATCGAAGAGTTGATAGAGGAGAAAGGCAAATCATACTAGAGAGAGAGTCGATTAGGGAGTGAAAATCAGAATGAACTTTGGTTCCTCTTCGTACTCGTACAGCGGTTTGAGAAAGAGAGAGCTGGTGAGGGAGAAGGAAGACGCCAGTGAGGAAGAAGGAAGACACTAGTGAAAGAGAAGGGACGTCGGCGGTAAAGGACAAGCAAGCAAGTGATGAGGGAGCAGCAGCCAGAGCAGAGAGAGGCAATGTGTTTGTGTAAGTGGGAACCTAACTCTAAATTGAGTCAAAAAAAATAAAGACAAACATATATAGAGAAGGGTATAACTTCGCGGGGAAATAGGGCCAAGGCCAAGCAATGTATCACTGTCCTTGACCCGAAAATTATCAGAAATTTATTTTTAAATACCATCTTCGATCTATTGAGAATATTTTTTAAAGAAAAGCCGCTTTAATCGGGGTCGGGGGGCCAGGTCCCCATTGGGTCGGGTTTAAATTGTCATCTCTAACCGGTCTTGGGCTAAGGCCATTGAAGCCTGTGCCTTATGCCCTAAAAAATTGACCCAAAATAAGGTCCCAAATTTTGAAAAATATTGTATTATAATACAAATACGCCCAAATTATTTTTGTTGCTTTAGGGGCAATTTTAAGGACCTAAAAATATTTTATTTGACCCATATTTGTTTGTAAGTATAGTTTGGCCAAATTAAAATATATACAAAATGTTGATGGCCCTTCAATAAGACACACTACATACACATACAAAATATTGGTGGCCCGAAATAGGCCCCTTATTTTTATTTTTTTATTTTTTAACTTCTTTCTTTATCAAATTTTAGAAGAATAAATAAATTTATCCTATTTTTTTTTACCTTCTTTGTACATCAGATTTTAGTGAAATAAACAACTAAGTCAATCTCAATCACATTCATACGCAACATATTCAATAAACAATAATACAACCACTCATAAACATGTTCAATAAACAATAATTAATTCAATACATATTCAATCCATTTTAATTTAATAAAGTTTTTCTAATTTTGATAATAATAAATAAAATAAAATAAATTGTATGAACACATTTTTATATCTATTTTGGTATCAATCGACAATAGGGATACTAAACAAGATGAATTTATTTATTTTTTTTTCTTTGTGAATATAAGCCTCCATTTTTGTTTCACCTTAGGCCTCTGAAAACTCAAGGCCGGCCCTAATTGACTCATCAAGTAGCTCAAGTTGTACCTCTAAATTTCTAGGGAAAGGTTTGGAGTTCAAGTTATAAAGAAGGATAGAAAGAAAATCGGACTGTTGTAACCTAAATTACTTACATGTGAACATCCTATCAAGTGCAAATAAAAAAAAACCCCCATAATTTCAATATAGAAATTTTATTGATGGATCACTTTCTTTGCATTGTGGGGGCACAAGTCATACAAATTTCATGCATGTAAATAAGATGCATAATATACTATGCAAGAAAGCTTAAATCATCATATTATTTACTTTAAGATATGCACATTTTCCACTTTTGTACTCTTACTTGGGAATACAAGGGAGGAAAGAATGAGGCAGCTCAAAACGTAAACAATATTTTCAGTATATTATGATATTCAATGTGCCAAGCATTCCAATTCTCCTAGCATTAGCAAACATATATTACAACCTTCGGTTAAGGACCAAGTAAGACAACCTTCATGAGAGAGAGAGAGAGAGAGAGAGAGAGATTTTGTTTGGGGGGAAGGGGGGGGTGGTGTGGTGTGGTGTTATGAAAATATGAAAGAATGAAACTCAAAATTGATAATGTATTACCCAGTCTCATGGAAGCAATGGTCAATCAGAATACAAAAGGTCATTTCCTTATTCCATATTTTCCCTGTAATATTTACCACAAATGGGCCTTCAACAAGAATGAATAATGTATCTCTAAAACAAAGTAAACAATTTTACACTACCTTACAGACCCTTGTCGCTGACCTAAAAAGCATTTTTCAGAGGGGCCCAAAAGTTCAAACCTAGGCATCACACATTTCTAATTAGTGATCATCAACACCCTCTATAATAATACTAGCAGGAATCCCTGCAGGATCAATCTTTTCCAAATTCCAAGTTAATCCCGGAAATGGTAATTCCTTTTTTCCGCATACATTAGATTGTTTACTTACCAATTCTCTTCATACAGTTGGATACAACGAACTATGCTACGAGGAATTCCTTGTCAAGAAATCATTGACGGCGAGACTGGCATCTCCATGGGCTACAGCATCATCGGGTTCTGGCATGTAGAGTGTTGATGAGGAAGCCTGCATGTCAAAAGCCCAATCAGTAGGGTCATAGAAACAAGTAATACCAGCCCAAGAGCCCAACACCATGTTTCGATAAAACTGGCAAGAAAAATCACCACGGTTGCAAGACAAACATTATAAAAATAATAATAACAGTTACCTTCAATGTAACAGGAAATGTACTAACATTTATAGGTGCAAAATCCTCAAAATAATAGTGGACCCCCATGAAGCAGCAGTTAATGTCAGAATTTCAAACTAGGAAGTTGTGAATACCCCAAACTATGAATCATTCAACAATATATGACATTTGGCAAAAATAATATAGTTTCATAACTAGAACAGAAAAATTACACCAGATAGTTCAGAATCATTTGATTAATCCCATTTTATGAGCACAGGTTATGCAGTTTAAGCCACATGCAGTATGCTACAAGTACCTACAAGTACCAAAGGTTGATTGCTGACATTGTGGAAACAGGAGCCCGGACACAATGGTTTCATTTTTGTCAAACTTTAGTGTCTATTATGATGCAGGGACAGAACATACCTTTGTGTCAAGCTGCATCTCCCCAGTATTTTCTGTAACAAGGCATGCACCGTGGGCCTTCAGCCACTCCACACACTCTTCCAATCCATCTGAATCCTTTTCCTCAGTTGTCTCTATAGGTGAAGCATTGGTGAAGCCCAGAACCTGAGCAATGTATGAAACAGGGACTGTAGGGCGACATGAACGAGACACACATCTCACAGCAGTGTACCGCATCTTCTCAACATAAAGATCTGCAGTGAAAGAAAGATATTTTATTATCTGTTTCAAGTGTCACTAACCCATGGAAGTTAGAATTAGAGATAACAATATGTATACCCACCCATAAGACAGGTGTTAAGATTAGGTGCAGTCTTGTATAGTCTAAAGAACCGAACATAATTTCCTGAAGTGACAGCGGCACGAACTGCAAGAGCATGTTTTACAGCCTCATCCTTTTTGGTCTCAACTGATAATCTGAAAGCCAATACAATGCATATGTCAGTTTAGCATTCTATATGAACTCATAGGCTGAAAGAACAGAAAGGAAAAACAGATTTTCTTAGCAAATAGACTCAGCAATGTAATGATTCACTCGCATTAAAGGCATAGTAGACACAAGGGAAACAAGAAAAAAAAATGCACACGGACACAGACATATTTCCATGGGATCCCTCCAGCCATGTAGCACTAGTGCTTGCATGACTACGAAATACACAAGAATTCATAAAAGTAGAGCCAAAACCATGCCAAGTTTTTCCTGACATATAACAACATGAACCCAATCCATATCTTTTTTAAATATCAATTTTCAGTTATACATGACATTACCATCAGCATCACCATAATTTCTGACAACCAAAAAAGGCTGATAAATTGACCAGGTTTCAGGTGTTCAGGACATAATTCCTCAATTTTGATTTCATGAGATCAAATGTTATCTAACAAGATGAAAATATAGACCACATTTCTTCAAGTGTTTCTCAAATGGGATTTACTTTTTTTTTTTTTATCAAGTACATAGCTTGAGAAATCAGAAAAGAAAAGATAAACCAACTCTATTTTGAGCATCCAGTAAGTCATATATTTTGATTGATTAGAGTAGGTTTCAACCCCCATGTAATTGGGATAAGGCATCATTGGGTTTGATTAGGCTTTAGACATTCATTCAACAGTCTACTATCAAAATTTCAAAATAGTTTTACGTTAACCATCAAATTGCTGAAATGAAATGTCTTACCAAAAATGAAAAGAAATTAAATTCCTTACCAAACAATGCATTGACAAGCAATACTATTGTCAATAGTTTTCCAAAGTACTCACACCAAAATTCCACTTTAGCAAAATTCAATGGTTTTCTTCAGTGCATAGTATACATCTAACTTGGGCACAAAAATATCTATGATTTTGATATACAAATAAGTCAACCACCCACACATAACTTTTCATGACAGTTCAAGGTATTAAATAAAAAGCCAAGTACACAAAACAATATTTAAAATTTAAATTTAGTCTGCAACAAATCAACAAAATTATCAGTGATTGTAACCAACACAATGTAACAACTCCGAAAACAGCAATGACATAATAAGGGATCGACAAACAAGATCAATGAGAAATAACACGAATGCAAGATGGATGTACTAACCTTGACATTGCTGATACAAGATCTCTGCTATTGTTGGCGTGCAAGATAACACAGAGTAAATTGTAAGCAGAAAATTCCATGTGGCACCCCTTAATTCCCTCCGCATAAAGTGTTTTCAACTGCGATTGACACTGCAAATCAGATGGAAGAAAGTCAGCCAATGCCTCTAATTAACATGAACATTTAAATGGAATCAACATTCAATTTACTAAGCTCAATAAATGTTAAAATCCACCTACTCTCCACCTACTTCACCCCCTTAAACCTACTCCACTAAACCTAACCCACTACACCACTACCACCTCACCTACTCCACTAAACCTAACCCACTACACCACTACCACCTCCACTTCACCTACTCCTTACCTACTACACACTCACCCTCTTCTATATATAGGAATCATGAATCATTGTAATAGATATCAATATACAACAATCAATAATACAATCATTTCTCTTTATACATTAAATTTCTACAATAAACAATTCTAAAAGAAATTGCCCTAGTTCCAATAACATATGTCAAACATATATCTCATACCCTTACTAAAGTAGTGTCCTGACATGAGTACATTATACATTTAGAAGAGTTCATAGACTAACTAAAAGCGTACAACTAAAAGCCAAATTTGACACGAGTTTCAACTTTCAAATAATAGAAATTTTCAGGTTTAAAAACTGGAAGTTGTTATCATCCTATTCTCCACAAACAAAATAATGCCTATAAGAATCCTAGAGAAGAAGGGAGGCATGGTGCGAAGCAGTCCTAGAGCCTACACCATAGGTTAAATTGGTTTTGATCATGAACAATGATCACCTATAGATGCAATGACAAAGAAGAGTGATATAATGACTATAAATAAAAATGTTAGGGAGAGGAAAAGATGTAAATTGACATGGGATGTAGTAGTAAAACGGGCTATGAATTTATTTAATTTAACTAAGCATATAGCCCTTAACATAACGAAATTGTAAAAAGGATTTATGTAGCTAAACCCACTTGATTTGAACACATGGCTTAGTTTGGTTTTGATTTTTTTATTCATTTTCCATGTATATATATTCTAGTAATTAAGATGGGCTATGGGGGACCCCTTTGGACAATGAGGGCTTTTATTTCATAGGGTTTTTAGAGGAGTTTATTTTGTTTTGGCTTGGTCTTTCAACAAGAAGTGTTTTATTCTGCCTTTATTATTGGGGCCCATGAACAAGGTTTTTAGTTTGTTGGAACTTCGGACAGAGAATTTATTTTTTATAAGTTTTTGGATAAGAACTATTTTATTTTATTGAGCCCTTGGATAGGGTGTTTTTTTATTTTGTAGAGCCTTCAGACAAGAAGATTTCTTTTTTTTTTTTAATCTTATTTTTGGATAAGATTTATTTTATTTTATTTGGGGCCTTCAAATAATTGGGGATCTTAGGCAAGTAACTATCTCGCCTAAGTGATGGGCCAGCCCTGTGTTGGCCATGTAGGATACAAGCAACTAAAACAACTATTACCTAGCCTCAAAAAGAACATATTATAAATGTGAAACAGCAGAACAAATTAACAAGGGGCAAATTAACAAGCCACACCAACTGGAACAGTTTCAAAGTTAAAATGGTAATATCGAAGCAGGTATCAACCTGATTATATTCTGCCAAGTCTCCAACTTCTATTGCCAAACGAGCATGAGTTTCATAAACCTGAAACAAAAGTATGAACACTGTAAATATTTTTGAGGTACCATTCATCAAAGAAATGGGAATCTAATTCATTATAGAAAAAGAAAGATGGTTCTTTCTGTGAGGCTAAATAAAGATATTCGCAAGAAGAAATAATGCACTCCATGTAGCACAGTTATCTGAACAGTATGGGATATCATTGACCCATTCCAAAGGCTGGCTTGTAGTTCAACCAGTCGAACTCTCAGCCGAATGACTCAGTTTAGTGCACAAAAACTTTAATACTGGTTACTTGACAATCTTATAAAGACTACATGCTGGAATGATGCTTACATCATGATATCACCATAAAACTGAATCCCACCCATACAAGTTGCTATATAGTATTTTTAACGCAAGACAAATTCCTTCTTTTACAGGGTGTATTGGCCCAGCCAGGGCCTGGTCACCAGTTCACTGGTCCAGCCAACCTGGCTAGTTATGATAATACTGCCAGATATCAATATAAAAAACAAAACATACCTTCACTGTTAGCTCATTGTGTATATGTTGTACCGTAAGATCTTGGCGAATGGATTTCAACTGATCACATTTGTAAAGGTAGTTCTTTTGAGAACTTTGAACCATAAGCAATGCTTTTTCTAACACTTCTTCAGGCCTCACCTGCAAGCAAAGTACATTTTATGAGAAAAATCCATGTTATGCAAGACAAACTTTTCATTTGAAATTCATTTCAACTACAAAAAATAAAAGAGATGGAATATTACAGTGGAAGGATCAGGTGCAGAAGTAAGACGCAAATAGCGTTTCTCAATTTCCTGGCAGGTCCCCTTGACAGTAAGGGAATCCCAGTCAAAATCTTCCACGGCCCTGCTACCACCATCATCAAAGTTCTTGCTAAGTAACAGTGCACTAGCCCTTCTAGTGTACAAGTTTCCAGATCCAACATTTTTTGGTCTAAAATGCTTAGTTTCTGCTCGATTTCCTGATCGCTTTTCAAAACGCTTTGACCGATTCTCTCGTCTCTTCCTTTCCTCCGGTGAATTGGCAAGTGCTATTGCACCTGAGTAATATGCAGTTAAACTTTGTTCCTTGTCACTGTCACTGGATGCATCAGCATTATCAGTTGCAACCAGACCATCACCAACACGCTGCCGCTTAACTGGCTTCAGGGCATTTTTATCCGTAGATCTCTGTTCTGCTAAAGAAAATTTTATATTGCCCAAACCGCCTTCTTTGTTCTGGAATTTTCCGCCTGAAAGCTGCAGAAGATTTTTAATGGAAATGAGATGAATGCATCCAATTATTTAGATCATCCGATGCACACTTCTCAATGTCCAGTCTAGCAAAAGAATCTAAGACATCAGTTAAGAACAGGAATAGGAGAGATACAGACACTGGCACAGAAATTTTCAAAAACTCAAGAAATCCGGAAATGGGACACATCAAGAAATAGTTATTTATTTATAAATATGAAGTTAATAAGTTATTCATTTTGTACGGGACATAATAAATTTATATTTTAATGATACATACATATATATTAATTATCTACACTCAAATGTTGGTGAATAAGTGGAACAGAAAGCCCAAATGTCTACTTAAACATATTTGGGGTTTAGGTTTTCACGAGTTAAAATGCCTAAAAAGAAGCAATTAATAAGTACATATTCATACTTCTCTTAATCTTTGACTGCCCATTTATTTTCTTTAAACATACCCAATGACTCCAGTAGGACTGCACATAAACCCGCAAGACTCGACTTACCCGACCGACTGAACTTGACTCAATACGACAAGCTATGGTCAGTTTTGTGAAGTGCAGCAGTCAGTAGCGGTTTGAAAGTTTGAAAATAATTATTTTGTCAGTTGGCTATCAGTTTATAAAAAGCAGCAACTGCTAAACCCAAATCAACTGAATTATGTAAGTATACAACCTTAGTGTTACACGTGGTCTTGTGCAATTGGAAGCTCAGATTACACTATCTTATCATTTCACTTTTATATCTCTTCTCTCTATCTTTTCAAATGATTCCTCCATCTTATCTTTTTTCTTTTTTTGACAAATTCCTCTATCTTATCTTTCACTTTTTAAACACTTTATTTCCTTCTCTTTCCTCTCAAATGGCTTGTCTCTTTATCCTCTCAAATGATTTACATCTAAATTCTGCGATTCTCTCTCATTCCTCTCTCCCTCTAACTATCCAGTCACAACAAAGAACCTTAATGTTGCACTTGCAGAAACTGAGGAATCGAGGCTTATCAGCTTGATATTATTCAAATTATTGCAAAACCCTCCTTCCAAAACCCCACTCTCAGATCTCCTCCCCTCACAGTTTTCCTCCTCCCTCACTTCTTCCCCTCTCTAACTTGCCATTTTTGCACATTCATCAAACAGTTGAGGTTGATTTGGGTCAGATTGAACGGTGCTACTGTTCCTCTCTCTTAATTTCTCTTAGATCTATGTATGTGTGTATGATACATTTTGTGGCGGCAGAGGAAAAAGAGGGAGGGGCAAGTGGCAAGGGGTAGAAGAGAGGACAGCAAGTCACAAAACTGACTGAAGCCGACATTTTCAAATAGCTATTTGGTCGGAATCAGGTGATTAGATTTGGAACCTGAATTGGTTGGTTCGGATGATGGGGAGAAACCCAAACTAACTCTACCCGTGAACACCCCTAGACTCCAGACTTGTCTCATCTGTGTTAGCCTGTTAGGTAATAAACATGGGCAATTTTTATTAAATAAAAATAGAAATGGCATGTTTATACACGTGTCCGACACATCAAAATTGTCCAATGGGTGCAAGTGTTTAACATGTGTAAGAAGTGTACACAAACATGCCACCCTGTGAGGCGCATCCAGCTACGCATGCTTCCTAGAAAAGCATCTTGTCATTTAATATTAAGGAAAAATAATTATAATGCAGAAAGACATCATAACAATGAACTACCAACAACAAATAAATGTTAAGGTCACACACTAGCATGATGAAAATAATACGCAAAATAGTTGTAGATCAGGTCCTGCATCAAAAAGGAGCCAAAAAGGAATACCTTTTTGTCACTTTCATTAAAATGTAGCCAGCCACCATATTTTTCAGTAGCAAAAGTAACAGAAGCCGGTTTGTCAACTGGTTTCTCCTCTGGCACAGGCTCCCACCTACTTTTGGATCGCCTACTTGGACTTCTTTTGTTCTTTGACAATGAAGAAATAGGAGTTGAATACTGAAAATTTCTGCAGAACAACATGAACACATGAGGATTGGTAGACATCATAGGAGATATTTCATTTTTGACAATATCTTGAAATCCTTAAAAACTGAAACCTTTTTCTAAAACTGCAACCAAATAAAAGATGAGCAACAAATGCTGAGAACAGCTTGAATCAATATCCAAATCAATCTATTACAAAGAGATTTGGTAAGGGTACTGACTAATGAACCAATCATCCAACATTAAGCCACAACTCTCAGATCTTGTAACCAACACAAAATATTTATCATAGCATTCTTTTGGTAAATAAATTTTATAATTTGAAAGTACAAGGTGGAATGCTGCAAAATGTTGGAGCGTGACTATTGACTATTGAGATGGCAAGATGTGAAGTAGCAAATATATATATATATATATGTAGAGAGAGAGAGAGAGAGAGACAATTAGATTATAAATTTCTGAGAGAGGATTTGTGAGCCGTTGCCTCTTTATATTGAACTAAAAATTCACCTTTGACTGACAAATGGACAATTAAAGTAATAACCTGTAAAAATGTAGGTACAGGTAAATTGGAAAAATATAAGTGGAAGCAAAGAAGGCATGATTTAACATACAGTATGACCATAACAAATTAACATATGGTATGTCCACAGTAAAAGCACTGGAAAATTGACCAACAGATTGCCAACAATTTCATTCTGGCAATACATTGGATTCTACAGTGCTCAGATTTCAAAATTTTTCATAAACAAACTTCAGAGTAGGACTGCTGGCCAAAAGAAAATAAAACTACAAGAGATAAAGATTAGATGGTTCAAACTAATCAAGTAAAAGGTGATGCATAATACACCTGAACTACTTAGTTAGATATGTTATCTCCGAATTCCATTTTTTCTTTCTACTGATTAATTGATTTAGCGAGTTGGCAATCTCTATAGGCATGGTGAGTGTTAAGTGACTAGGTTAGGTATATAGAGTGTCCAATTGTTCAAGTTTGAAGTCTAAAGATTTCCAGAGACAATGCAAGCGTGCTCCGATCCTAAGTTCAGGTACAGCTACATGAGCATGGTACAATAGTGCAAGACATGTGGTATTCATGTCAAATGTCGACCCAGAATAACCTATACTTGGTCATGTGGCTTTTTTAACTCAAAATTGTGGGGAAAAGGACTGATTTGAGCAAGTCTGACAAGCACCGCTTCAGGGTGGACATTGGCCAGGTCGCCTGTGAAGCCTGCCTTACCCATCCTGGTTATTTTAGTGCTTGGAATTGATATACAAGCCCGATGGGTAGGTTGGGCTGAAATTAGGCCCATAATTTCGGGCTAGGCTTGGGATAAAGATCTGAAGCCTGGCCCAACATGGTTATTATTATAATTTTAAATATTATTTATACATATATAAACCGTGTTTGGAGAACTCTAGCCGTCTGGTCTCTAATTCCTTTTCCATAGAAACTGCATCCTCTCTCTTCAGTGTCCTGCCCTAGTTTCCCTTAAGATTTTTTTTATCTCTCCACACAGCTGATTGTTAGACTCACTTGAGATCTAAATAAGAGAAGCTAACAAGGGTGTTAGACCCACCTGAGAGTGGATAACGGGCATGCCAGATCATGGGTGAAGATGTCAAAGTTAAATGCATTTCCATGGGATTGTTGTTCTTGTGGTTTTCCACATATATTGTCGTGTCTTGATTTAATCTATCTATTTACTTATTGCGATATTGGGTAGATAATATTGATATACTTAATTGATATCTATAGTGGAATTGACAAAATGAATTGAGTGATTCAACACTTGATTATTTTTATCGGTTAGTGTTTGGCCTATTCAAAACCCCTTCATAGGCACAAACTTGTCTGCCTCCGCCTTTTTCACAACTAATGTGACTTCTACAGCATAGTGCAATGAACTAGTATGTATATTAAATGAAATATCATACAAGTATAGATACATGTGCATGCATGAGAGAGAGAGAGAGAGAGAGAGAGAAAGAGATGTACTCCTTATTGGTCACATCCGTATTGGGTACTGGGAAAAGAGGCTCAATATCCCAGTCTCGTGTATAAAGTGAACCATCAGCAGTAGCCTTGGTAATTACCTAATGCAAGATAATAAACTTGAAATAATTAGTAGATAAATCACACAACATACCATAAACAGATAAAAATTGCCATCAACCTAAAACATTACAAAGTTCCATGCAAAAAAATAGTTAGATATCCAATTCCAATGACATAAAAATAAAAAATAAAAAATGCTTTTTCCTTATCAAAAAGGAGTCAAAATAATGAAAGGCAGCCTCACTCTCATAAGAACTACAAACCTTACCAGTCCAGCTCAAATCTCTAGAAGACAACTGAGAATCATTTTACAATATGCTAGCTAACAGAAAGCACTTAAGTTCCAAACTTTCAATGGAAGTGATAATTGACGTGTGATTAACTACAATTCTGTTTGTATAGATAATGTCAATTTTAATAATGACATGATAATGGCGATCTTCAATTATAATGATGATTATACCAATAAACCAAAAATAGAAAGAGAGAACTCATCTAAGGAAATAGTCCACAAAAGCTAAAAAAGATTAAAGAGCGAAAGAATATCCAAAGGATTCACATTGAAATGAAGAAAGTATATTCTAGAGTTCCAAAACGCACAATTTTATAATATAAAGAAAAAGAGCTCCCCGATGAGGCAACTTAATATCACCAGTTATAATATATAAGGAGCAACAACTAGTGGATAAAACATTGGGACAAATCCAATTCCAAAATGAACAAACCATCTACAAAATCTGTGATGTTCGGAGTCCAATCTTATACCTTAAGTGAAAAATTCAAGGTGACACAAAAAAACTCAAACTCCTGATCTCTGTAAAGAGATTAGATGATTTATCGAATAGGTAAAATAGAGAGCCTTCTGATGCTTTCTTTAAAATCTGAAGCATTCTTAACCTAATAGTATTGACAAAATTAAGAACAAATAACTACATTTTTTTGGGACAAATCAAACTCCCTATAGCTTACACAAAAAAGTGAAGTTACGGTCTCTTCTTCGTCGGCATTAGAATGTGACATTGTGTCCAGATCCACAAAACATTAGTTAGAAACAACAAACCAATAACCAATAAAACCTTCAAAATATATCATACTGCATACCTCTTTCATGACAGCTTGACAAGCTGCCATTTGGGTATCATCTTTACAACGAGCCAGAGCCCTTTCCACATAACTACGCAGTGACTTGGGAAACGTTCCAGGCTGCAGGCAACATAATATTGAATTTCATTTAGCCTCTATTCTATTCGCAAAATAGACTTTATTACATGCAACTCTCTAGCTAAAGTCCCAAGTATCAGGTGTCACACTACTAAAAGCCAATTAGATAATTAGATTTAGCCAAATTGGTTAAATGAATGCATCTAAATAACATAGCGGCACTATACTATGAGGTGTAATGACATGAGACAGTTAATTCAAAACTCCATCATTCAAAGGAGGACCATAAATGAAAATGAAAGTATACAAGTACACAAACAACCATGGTTGGAAAAGAAGGGCCAACGTAACGTGTCATGGGCATACCAATTCAATTATGCCCTTATTTATCAGCAAAAATAAATTCCACATGTGCAACAGCTGTTATGACTGCTACAGAACTGTTGAACATTTTTTTGTAGGTATTCTTTTGATTCAATCTATGGTTTTCAACGCAATGTGATTGATTGATTTATTTAATATTTGGGGGAAAAATGTTTTGGTATAATTTTTTGTTATATCGTTGACTCCAAGCACAGTTGAACTAGAAGTATTGCGACAGCGTCCATTAAATGGACTTTCAATTTTGAGGATCGAAGATTATGTTCGCATGATGCAACTAGTTTCAAAGGGGAGCTGCATGAAAGACTCAAGGTATATTTCAAGAATGTGCTTATTCATTAGTTTCCTGACCATTTATTAGCCTGCAACAAGACCACATTTTTTTATAAGTAAAAATTTATTAAATAGGGTGCTGAGGGAGCACCACCCGTGTACTAACGGAAACACAAGAACAGAGAAAAGAAGGCAACCCACTCAGCCTGCCACAGCTCACTACCCACCCAAGCCCCAAAACTTTAAAACGTCTATTTCTCCTTCCTGCCTAACTCCTGGCACTCTTGCCTAATTTTTGCTACTTCAGATAATCTAATCAGCTCCAAAAAGGCTTTTTATTAGTCCAACTCGAACCAAGCCAACCATAAAAATATTTTTTTTGTAATAACAATCTGACTACCTCAAAAAGGAATCTTATAGAACATCATGTTCCAAAAAACGTAAACAAAAGTTGGTCAGAGAATTCAATTAGTAGAATACCAAAGCTACTAGCTTATCTAACATGTTGATGGTCTATCATCTTTTGAAAATCTACAGACTAAAATAAATAGCCCAATAGTGCAAAGAAGCATTATGATTCATTCTCCAATTAATAGTCAATAAAACTAATTTTGACTTTTTGACGTGAAAGAAATTTCATAAATTTTCCCTAGGAAAAAAAAAAGGTGCTGTGAATTGTGATGGTAACGATTCTCAATATTGTTAAACTCTTGTGGCCAATACCATAAATGATAATCATATTGCAGTGGGGTAGGCAAGATACAAAAGAACTATTGCCAATTTCGCTATCTAGGTTGCATCAATTTGAAAACAAATCAATTTGATGATCCAAACACTTCAGAAATAGTTATTAAGCAATTAATAGTTCTTTAGACTTATTATGCAGAATTTCTTTTGCAGTGCATTAGCCAATTCCTGAATCTCCATGTCAATTATTAACAATCAATGTTGCCAAAAAATGAAAAAGGTATTTTTTTGTGAGAACAATTTAAGTTCAAAGCTAGGGTCTCACCTTAAGCATAGAATCAGCAGCATCATGAGACAACTCTTTGTCATTTGGCTTTGGCAGTGAAACACTGATATAGGCTGGTTTTGCTGCTGTACTGGTTGTAGAACTATCCTTATTCGTTTTTGGTAAACCCAATGCCAAATTGGAAGCAATTCTAGGATTTGTTGGAATCTGCAGTCTGCTTACCCTGTGCGGATCTAAAGGTGGAATGGTTTGTGGAAAAGTTTGCAAGGATGATGGATAATTATGCGGTACCTGCTGAGTAGCAGGTGCAGGATATTGTACATTGGGAGGTCCTTGAGGACATGCAGTCTTCAGTTGATCCTGAAAGCTTTGATAAGAAGGATTCGAGTGGGGTACCTGATGAGTAGCAGGATATTGTACATTGGCTGGTCCTTGAGGACATGCAGTCTTCTGTTGATCCTGAAAGCTTTGATAAGAAGGATTTGAATCCAAAGGCTTTTGAAATTGTGGTTGCTGAGGACTAACATTGTGATTTTGGAAACCTGAAGCTCCATTCTTCCAGTAACCATCATGGCTACCACTGATTACTGCACCAGTCTGATGAGAAAAATGCATAGAGTGAATTCAGCATACCAAGTTACCAACTGGTCAATGGAGATATCACTGAAACATCTTATGTCAAATTATGACATGCAACCAAAGCAATAAAACCACCATAATTGTTCAAACATGTGTGAAAGCAAATAAAGAGTTCTGTCATTAAGCCGAGTAATATGAACAAAAGTTTTGTAGATCCACTGCATCATTACTTACCATTTTCCAAAATTAATGCAGGACGAATTCTAATAGTAAATCCTAATTAAAGGAAAAGAAACGCAAATAATGAGCCAGCACAATATTTTGCAATTTCACCAAAAATGAGGAGCCACACAAATCTAAGTGTAGAAATGACATTACCAGCACATCTACAGAGGTTACATATATGTTGTACATTAAGACAATTAAATGGCCAAGGAATGCAAGGCAAGAACCATCATCTCCCAGTGACACGTTGTATTGGTGACATGGACAAACATAAGGTCACGCAAAGATATCATTCTTCTAGTATGAAGGATACTGCACGCTAGAGTCTTGCTATGGGCACAAAATATTTTCATTAGCCTCATTCAAGCCACCAAACTATATTTAGCTCTCTGTCAAGTGTTAAAGTTTAACTATTTATATGATAAAAAATTCAACAATTTGTAAGCATGGGGTGGAGTTGAAGGATCCATGGTGAGTCCAGTGAGTGTAATTTAGGCAATGACTAAGCAGTTCGGCCTCCTAGATACTTCTTATAAATTCACAACATTTCACAATATACATAAAAAGAAAAACAATGAAGAAAAAACAAAGGTATCATAACTTGTAAAAATAAATAAATAAGTCTTTGAATTCCACCTACTATATTCTTTTTCTTTGCTTTTTTATAATCTCGAGTATCTCCCACCTAGCCTAGCCTAGCCCAATTGGACCCAAGTTACCCCGTATCTGGACAACCGAGAACTAATCCCTGGAGGCCCTGAAGTTAACAACCAAGTAAACCTCCAGTGGACACTTGAGAGACTCAAACACAAATTCCAACTACTATATATGCTACCATAGTGTGGGGCATGGGTCCACTGTGCCATGTTGTGTGCATATCACAACCACCACATCATCTCCTTCCAAACCTTGATGCAATATAAATAATTGTGTCAGACTCATGAGATGACAAATGGATTACCCAAATCCTACCATGTGTCAATAACTCCCCTTTAGGCATCGAGCCGAGCCAAGCCAAGTTGACAGAGGCTAATGCATATAGTGCCTTTAGCCCAAATGCTCTCAATCTAACTCAGTTTAGTCAAGCAAGCCTCCACCTAAGCACATCCCCTCCTCTACTCTTGACAACACGCTCAGCCCCTCTCTCATCTAGCAGAATGACTTTCCTATGCTTTGTAATAACCTGCAACACCCTAATGCTCTCAAGCTAGCCTATGTTGGGAGCAAGGACAAAGAACCCCGTCAGGGTTGGTGCCGTAGTCATGGGGTGTCATCGTATGGCTTGGTGGCTAGGGCTAAGATTTCATCAAGGTGCTCGACCACTCTAACTCAAAGAGGACTGACATAAAGTTGGCCTCTTACAAAGAGACAACAATTACAAATCAAAGACAAAGACCTCCAGATAAGGACACTTTTGAATAAAAAATAAATGCATGTGCTCAGACTCCATCTTTGAAAAGCACACCCCCAATACCTCTACAACATGAGACCTTTAACTCTATCACCGGAGGGGATTGTGCAATGCCACTAACAAGATACTACTAGAGCCAACCACATATCCCTCAACCATGTACCCTCAACACATATGGTGAGCTAGTCTCAATGGTCTAGCCAACCCTATATATTAAGATTAGTGAGCTTCCTCCTTTGTCTTCAAGCAAGAAATCTCTTTCTATGTAAAGGATATTTCATTAGTTCTAGACCTCTACTACAACACTCTCCTCTTAAGGTTGTTTAGCTCTCACCTAACATAACTCCAATAATCTAGTGACTCCTTTGTGCCTACCATAATTCCCAAAAGGTTCCCTCAGCCATCTTACTCACCTCCTACGATCCACACATAGGGCAAAAAAAAGGGTAGCATTATTGCAATAGTTTTTTTTTTTTTTTCAAAGCAATTTAAAACACCATATTGGACAATGCCATACCGTCATCTCAATAATCCCAAAAATAAATAAATTAAATGACAAAGAATGTTCATACTCGAAAGATGTCAAACCACAAGTAAAGCAAATTTAATGCCTTTGTTTGCATACAACAAACAACTCATAAACTAATATTCAAATGCACATCCTAGAGTACCCATGACTCTGAAGGTCGTTTGATAACCCCATTCAGTGCATAACTAAGTTTGTTGTACAAAACCATCAATGGTAAGAAATTCTTGATGGACACTGATGACTCCCCAACAAATCTTACATGCATCCTATATTCCCAGGTTTCTAGAGGTGAGGGAATCAGGTAAGAAGGTTTGGCTGCAACTTACACGAGACATAGACCTGACAGAGGCTGAAGCTTCACATTGACTGGTTTAAACTTCCAAATACAATAAATACAGAAACTTGTGTTCCTAATGTTTGGTTTCTAGTTACACTCACTCTAAATAACATTTTGTGAAGGAAAGAAGATAGTGCCAAAAACGCACATACCAAACCTATCGTGCACAACAAATGCAGCTAGAGTTATGATTCGATATACATGTTTGTGTGTGAAACATCATGAATAAGCACGAAAAATTTATTTTCAAACAATGACAAAAAGGAAGGCATATGTGTTCCCTTAACAGGTCAATTGAAAAGGCTTGGAGAAAATTAATGTGTATGCGTATATGCATGTGCAAGTGACCACGTAACTTCTATTCAACTGCATATGGAAGGAAACCCCAAACCTGAACCAAAGGCAATTCAGACGAACTGGAATCTGGCCTCCAAGATGGAATATAAGGTGCAGATGGCTGGCTGAGTGAAGCTGGATACCCATTGGAAACAGGGACACTACACACTGGATTAGATGTACTAGTAACTGAAACGTTTTCTGTCCCAGGAGCACAGCTAACTTCTGTTTGACTGTAATAATCTGCCCATTGCTTATATTGTTGCTGATATTGTTGTGAAGACGTAGTAGCAGCACTGGCATTATAACCACCATTTGGGTCTGGAGTGTAGTTTGAATATTGATGAGAAGCGTAACTTGCATAGTTTCCTTCATTCCACGAGTTGGGTTGATTACTGTAACTGCCACTCGCATAACCTCCAGATGTCTGATAATCACCAGGATTGTAGTAAGTGCTTGAATAACTTGCAGGCCCAGCATAAGACCCTGAATTCTGAAATGAGGAAAGAGGCTGATAAGGAGCACCTGTGTTTTGATATGCTACTACAGGCTGCGGGTATGGTTGATTAGATTGCTGCTGATAGCCACCATAATAACCTGTGTATGTGGGATTGCCATATCCATATGGATCGGTATTTGGGTATGTTGCATAGCTATTATATTCTTGTGGTACATTTACTGCTCCTGAACTTGAAGTAGAGGCGAGGGATGCAACACTGGAGCCATCTTGAACATTCCTTGCAGGAGGCTCTGCATGCTGATTTTGGTGGTAGCTGGAATTAGAAAGAAACCCATTGTCTGTGGACGTGGCATAATAATAAGATGCTTGGCTAGAATCAACAACCTGACGTTTCTGAATCAAAATCAAAATAAAGAAGATTGTAGTCATTAATTTGGCTATTTGTCAATACATCAATCAAACATACTTTGATGATACATTAACTGAAGAAATGCAATCAACAAAAGACACATAAAAGATGGCATATGTACTTAAAGAGGAAAAAATAGGACAGGTCAGAAGAGAAGCAATAACAATAAAAAATAAAAATAAAAATGGCCAGAGCAAAATATAAGTACTTGGCCAAGCCATCTAAGACTTCTCTGTCAGGTGGCTCCTCCAAATAGTTCCACTCAACTTATCACATGCGATCCCTATTATAGACAGGAGTAAATTTGCAATGTCTAAACAAAACACATGGGTGTCAAAAGTTCAGATCCAACACAAAGCTAAAATACCCTAATTAGAATCTGGATACCTAAACCAAGATCTTGCATGTAATAGTACATAATAATACATAATTCAAGATCTTACATGATATATAAACCAATATCAACAGACCCTACATGTCTACATAATGCCAACCTTGTTTTAGTAGGGAATAGCTTGGTTCCAGACACTTGGAGATCCCACGAACAAAACCCATCTTTCCTTTCTCTCTAGAACTCTATGTCTCTACCCCATAGTTGTCAAATCGGGATTCGTATCGTGAATCGAAATGGTCTCGTACCGAATCGCGAATCGAATCGAATCGTGAATCGTAAAGATTCGGTCACTTTTTCTAAATCACTTAAAAACATATATCTACACATTTAGAAACCAAAAACATGGCCAAATTTTCTAGGAACGAAGCACCACAACCAAAAATGCTCAGCTTAGTCTCTGATCAACTAAATCATTAATACCCAATTCTGCAATTTACCAACTACTGTGCCATTTCATCCAAAAACTTGATTTACTTAAAACAAAAGAAAAAACTACACATTCATACTAGTCAATTGATCAACAACTACTGTTTCATCCCAAACCCAAAATTTGTTAAAAGCAAAATCAATCAACGACTTCAGATATTAAACAAACAAAGATACATATACATACATACATATATATATATATATATATATAGAGAGAGAGAGAGAGGGAGGTTTGGAAATTACCTCGAGCGAATTTTGATCCAGTGTAGTTATGGTATCAGCACTAGCTGCTTGATTCATCATTTCACTAGCATCCTAGTTCATCACGAGAAAACAGGACAAAAAATCAATAACCATTTAATCCATAAACGAGGACAACAAAACTAAATGACAAAACCACAAAATCACAAACTTCAATTTTTGGAGCTTAATTATAGTAAAACAACACAAAACCCTAAAATTGAGTCTCTGTAAAATTATTCTAACCTTCGAAACAGTCGAAAATTCTACTTCCAGAAGCAGTAAATTCCTTGCCGCCGAATCGATCAATTGAACACAACAATTTGAGATCACAAAGAACCAAAAACAATATATATAACAAAATAATTATTTTTTATAAAAAAAAATCGTGTATATGTATGTATTTTTTCCTGTATACAACAAAGCACAAAACGAAAATCAGCTTGAATTGATCGAGAGAGAGAGAGAGAACGAAGAGAGAGCGATGTAGAGGCTCGGATGATATTTATGGAAGGAGAAGAGAGAGAGAGAAGAGAAAGGGAGATTCAACCAACTGTCTTTGTTGGGTCGTGACTCCAAGGCTAGGGCTTTTTGGGCTTTTTTTGGCAATGGCTTCCATGGACCCAGAGGACACACCATTCTGGTATTTTGCTAGGGCAATAAATAATTGTTAGGATGACGCTTTCAATATAAGTGATTAGGCTTATTAAAATAAATCATTTAAACCATTTAAATTTAAATTTGGCCCAAAAATTTTAAATAAGCCATTAATTGAAAAACATTTACCAGTGGTCATAAGCTTAAAAAAAAAAAAAATCAAATATTACATCAATTTTTTTAGCAATTTTCTAAATACATAGTTTATGAAAAAAGTCCAAAAAACAAAAATTTTTTTTTTTTTAAAGCTACTCCAGATGTCGTATTCTTAATTAATGAGAAATTACAACCTTATTAGCGAACAATAAAATTAAATAAAACAAGTGATGGGTAACCTCTTGCGAGATTCCAATAGGTATTGGGAGACTAGTTCAGCCGAACCAATGGGCTAAGGCATGGCTTAGAGCAGGGAGATTCTGAGTGTTTTGGTTTGATTTTGAGAAGTAAATTTTTAAAAAAGATTTTGAAAAAAAGTGTTTAATTTTTTTTTTTGATTTGTTTGGTTATATATTTTGGAAATAGTTTTGGAGTATGAGAGTTTGGGATAATTTGATATTTTGTTGTAATTGAGAAGATGTGTATGAAAGAAAAAATGATTGAGAAGGAGAGAGGAGAGACAAAAAATGATTGATTGAAGTGTAGGAGAGAGAAAGTGATTTTGGAAAAAAAATTTCAAAATCATTAAATCAAACAAAATTTTGAAAAAATTTCTCCAAAATTTGCTTATCAAAACAAACCAAAAAATCATTGAGTACTCCTTATTTCTAAGTACACCCTTTTCAATTATTTAAAATCTTAAGGTGTTGTTTGGAAAGGAGGTTGGCTTTTTGACTTTTTAGATTTTTTGGCTATTTTAGTCTTGGCTAAAAAACTTGGTTTGGGAAGGACTTTTTGGTTTTTTTGACTTTTTTGTGAGAGAAAAGTGTAATGATTATGGGTTGAATGTGATGTTTTATTTGTTATGGCTAAAATAACATATTTTGTTTTTTGTGACTACTTTAGCCTCAAACCCACTTCCCAAACAATGCCTTCTGTACACCTTATAATTTTTCCTAAGTTATCCTTACATTGTATTTAGTTAGGGGATTTGGGAAGAGAAAGGAAAGAGATGTGTGAAACTAGATAAAATTTAGGTATATTTTAGGGGGATTTGGTGATAGCCCCTTCACTATTTAATTTGTCTTTCAAAAAGACAAGAATTATATAAGTACTTTCAAAACCCCCTAATATTTTAAAACTTATTTTTTTTACTATATTACCCTCATATCTATCAGCTCTCCTATTAAGCCATCTTCACTATATATTTCAGAGTAAAATTTTACTCTGTATAAAAGTAAAATTATATTCTGTATAAAAGTAAAATTTTACTCTGAATAAGAGTAAAATGTTACACTCTGAAACTAAAAGTAAAATTTTACTTTGAAAAACTAGTAAAATGTTAGACTCTACACAAAAGTAAAATTTTACTCTGTATAAAAGTAAAATTTTACTCTGGTTCTATCAAATAAAAAAAACAGAGAAATAGAACCAGAGTAAAATTTTACTCTGGTTCTGTCAAATGAAATTAGATAAAAAAACAACAAAAATAAATCAAAAACAAACAAACAAAAACAAAACAAATTAATCAACAAATCAACATATCTAATTGAGAAAAAAACTTCAAAAAAACAAACAAACAAAAACAAAACAAATTAATCAACAAATCCACATATCTAATTGAAACGAAAAACTTCTAAAATTCGATCAACAATCACACATCTCAATAAAAAAGAATACATGTGTTCAACAACACTCATACACACAAATATATATATATATATACATATATTCTACTGTTCCTCATCCACATCCTTCCCAACCTC